GGGGGGGTCGTTGGCAGCACGGTGCAAGGGAGGGGATGGCCCTGGGGCAATGTTTGGGGGGAGGGCGCAGGGTGATGCAGGGCGATGCAGGGGATGGGGTGACAAGCAAGGAGGGTTGAAAAGACGCTTGTGTGCTGGCTTTGGCACAAAATGTCCGAAATCCATTCATCAACTAGGTTATGACAAAGAGCTAGCTTTTTAGCTCCTCGTCACAGTCAACACGTTTGGATATTTGTTGAGCTGAGAAATGCAGCACGCCAGGGTTTGCCTTTCTCGCTGCCATGTGATCAACATGTTGGGGTGCCAGCAATCCAAGTCTCAGCCTGCACACATGCCTGCCTGCGCTCACCTGCACAACCCACTCGTTGGCGTTCTCGATAATGGGGGTGGAGATGTTGCGCAGGTGGATCGGGGCCCTGCATGGCCAAGTTTGGCAGTCCGAGAGTGCGGTGAAACAAGGGTGCTGGCAGTCTGTGGGCATGTGCTGCAGGCCTGGCGGGCGCCAGAAGGAGCTCGCTGCAACACGCACTTCATGCCCCCCTCCAGCCCCAACATTTATTCTGGCTGTTGAGGGCAGCACATGATCACAAGTACTGGACGCAAGGACTGGCAGGTGGCAGCCCAGCCTCTCGCCCAACACCTGCGGGGGCAGTGCCCCGCCAGCGGCGCCATCCGGCACGCATGGCATGCATGCTCACGTGGCGGCCTTGAGGAGGGTGATCTTGAAGTCTCCCGTGATGGAGGTCTCAATGGCGGTGCCGTCATACTCGCTGTCACCCTGCAGTATTCGAACGCGTGTGTTTTGTGAGCGTGGATACCAGTTGTGTGAGGGGCGAGGTTGTGGCGAAAGGCGGGGCGAAGCTGGGAATGGTTGAGCTTTGAAGTTGGTTCGGGGACGTCGCAGCAGCCATGGCATGTATCAACAGCGCAGCACATCACAACTGTAGCATCACGTGAACGTTCTTCATCAGGACGTCGGCTGGTCGGACGCCACACGTGACAAGCTGTTGCTTGAAACCAGCGGCCACACCTCCAGCACACATCCACTTCCGTCCCCGAGGCAGGCCGCCCCGCCGTACCTGCGCCGCGTGGCAGTCGCCCATCTGCAGGAGGCCGCCGTAGACCTTGACAGGAAGGTACAGGGTTGCGCCCTTGCCCAGACGGCGGTTGTCCAGGTTGTTGCCCGTGTTGGTGGGGGTGGTCGACGTGAAGGGAATGCTGATGGGCTGGGCCAGGCTGCGGGGGTGGTTGGCGGTTGCGCACGGTAGGCCCATCAGCTGATTAATTTAATTCATAGTACAAAACAACCCTGCACATACACATACAGACGCAAGCCCTTCTCCCAGCAGCCTGGCTCAAGGCGGCGTTTTGCTGACTGCCAAGTGTTGGGGGCAAGGGTGGGTTCCACGGCGATCAATCCGCCCAAGAGACCCATGCAATGCCTTCAGCAGTGGGCACAAGCAAGCCTGCATTGCGGTCTGAAAATAGAAATGCAGCACGGCTTGCACCGCGCCTCTGCTCACCCAATGTTGCCGATGTGGAGGTTGATCGGCACACGGAACTGTGGGGGATCCAGGGCAACACCGAGCAAGCGAGGACGCATCAACAGTCAGCAGCAGGTAGATGTCAGCCTGGCCACCACAGCTTGTGCATGCACACGTGGTCATCTGCATGCACTCTGTATGTGCATTCAGTCATAAACTGCGCCGCCTGGCCTTACCTTGCCGTTTACGCTGGTGCTGCGCGGCGCAGAGTTGGGACGGACCATGCCTGTGCGTCCAAGCAAGAGCGCACATCGCAAGGTGTCATTGCTTGATCCAGGCTTCCAACACGCGCCATGAAACGTGGCAAGCGGTGCGAGGAGGAGACACCGGCCCACCTTGCTTTAGGGGATTGGCTCAGAGGTGGCGCCCAGATTGCCTGCCAGCACCCCTCAAAACTTCCCAAGGAGAGAGTTGACGGCCTTGCGTGATGCAGGGCCTTTCTTGCGTGCAACACATCCACGACAAACTACCCCATGCGCCCAGCCCAGCCACAGGCAGGGAGTAGTGGTCACGCACCGCCGAGGACGATGCGGGGCCAGGTCTGGGTGCCGTTGACGCAGGGGACCTTCCCGATGGCGGGGTACAGGCGGTCAGGGTTCTTGAGGGTGTAGCCGAATCCAGGGTACGTGCGGGGCACCGAATACTCATCAGGCTGACAGGGCGTGGTGATCACAATCTGCGTGGGAGAAAGCGTGGGTGGGAGAAAGCGTAGGTTCGAGTGAGCCAGGACGCCAAGAGGTACGAGTCCGTGATCAGGCTGGGCGGGGAGGTGGCAGCGCCAGACGCGAGTTGCCTGCCGTCGAACCAAAGCGATCCAAAAGATCAAGGCATGCACGGGCATGTTCAGGCGAACGTGGACAGTGCAACTGCCACACTGGCATGCTCCCACGGGCAAACGCGCACACACACGCATGCGCGCACACAAGCACGCACAGGAAACGTTCTGTCAAACCGCCTGGCCCAGAGCTCACGTCTGAGACGTTGGCGGGATCATCCTGGGTGGCTGCGAAAGAGAAGCGCGGGGCGGCGTACATAATGGTGGAGTCCCCAGCGCGGGGCGACTTGACCAGCTCCTGCGGGGGGCGCAAAAGCAGATAGTGCATTTGCAGGCGTCAAAATGCGTGCGCTCGCACACACACGGGCAGGGAAACGGGCCGCCAGCGAAGGCGTGAGTCCGCTGCGTTTTCAGGGGCTCAGCTATATTCGCACTGCAGACGGGCAGTATGGCTCGGCAGGTAGCATAGCATCAACATCACTCATCAAGGCACACACTTTTTTTTCATTCATAGCATGCATGTGCACGCCAAGATGCACCAGGCGCTCACGTAAATGTTAACGACCTCCCGCGGCAAGCCCGATGCAAACCCGGTCTTGAACTGCCAGCCCCAGCGGGCGGCGGCCTGCGACCCGTACGTCTTGTTGGTCAGGGGGTTGGGGCGGGGGTACAGGTCCAGGATCTCGATCTGCGTGAGGGAGCACCGGAATACGAGAGGTCAATGTCAAGATTAAGCCTTTGTGAGTTGATCGAGGGACTGGAGGTGGTTGATTGTTCAGACGACTTTGGCGTCCCTTGGCAGCTCTGCGCCTCCAAGCAACGCGGCGGCGTTGCAGCACAAACATGGTTCCAGTATCATGACCTGGCACCGTTCTGTCCACGTCCCCCACCAGCTCAACCCAAGCATACTGCTTTTCTTCATTCAGTCCTTTCAAGCCAGGCAGTCAGTCTGCAACCGTGCCGTGGACGGTGGTCCGACTCGCGGGCCCGGGATGCCGTTGGTTTGCAGTAATGCGCGGCGTGTTCCCACCTTGACAGTGTCCCCTGGCTCCGCGCCGCAGATGTGGATGGGGCCAGTCAGGATGTGCTTGCCGTCACCGCGGCCCGAGTAGCCGCGGAACTGCAGGGGCGAAATATCAAGGAAATTTGGCAGCGAGTCAGCGGAGGGGTAATCGGGCAGATGCAACGGTGTGTGAACATGCAAATTCTGTTTGATTTAGGCCAGTTTGTGCCTGATCCCGCAACGGCCCAAGTACATCGTAGACGGGGCAAGGCGCAGGCACTGGGACTTCATTCGGACCCATCGGCCCCCTGTCCGCACTGGTGTCTGTCCCCTGCTCCCACATCTGGGTGGGCGTGGGGAGTTTGCTCTTGCCATGCCTGCCAGAATCGGCCCCCCCGCACCCAACCCCCCTCTCGCCACCGCCATCCCCCACAAACACACACAGAGCAGCAGAACAGAATACAAGACATCACCCAGATTCAAGTTCTTTATCCCCCCAGGTTCCAGATGAGCAGCCCAGCCCACCGGGATTGTCATGTTGTCCTTGGTCCACTGGTAGATGGCCTCAACGGGCTTGTCACCCTGTGACATCACATACAGTCGGCAGTGGATAAAAGTGAGATGCAAGAGGGGATTTGATTGAGTATGCACAACTGCACGGTGCAATCCACGACGCAAGCCGCATGCGACCACCTGCACAAGCAGGGTGTGCAGACTTCATGCAGCAGGCAACAACGCAGCCGCCAGCAACAGCAAGCATGATTCTGTGTAATTTGAGCAGGGCAGCACCACCTGCTGATACTGAGAGGCCTGCTGTGACTGTTCCACCACAAGCTGGGCGTACACTCGATTTTTTGAGTGACACTCAACACAATCACAGACAGTGTACGCTGCAGATGGGGCAGACTCACCTGGATCATGAGATCTGCGGCGTCACCCGCCTGGTGAGTCAGCATCTCAACAGTGATGGTGTCACCCGAGGCCACGACCGCCGCGGGCTTGGCGCCGCCATACCTGCAGTGGTTTGATGGAGGAGCAAAACATGTCTAGATGGGGTGCAAGTGGTTTTTGCACCAGGCGTGATGGGCAGTGGAGCCAATTCCGCAGGTTAATCAGCAATCAACCGCGACACCTTTTTTGATCGCAGGGCATGTGCTACACCACACGAGAGGGGGCGTGGCCGCGTTTGCAACACACAAAGCAGGCAGACAGGCTGGGTGCATCGGTGCAAACGACGAGCGGGGCTGCGCAGCAGCGTGGGCTTGGATGCCATATGGCCACCAGCATAGCACGCAGCGCTGTTGAGCATTGGTGCTGCATCCTGGCATGCACGTCCTCTGTCACTGATGCTTTCACGCATGCACACGTCACAGCCTGTCACACTGCGCCAGATATTCCACCGCCAACAAAACGCAAACACACCAGCCTCCGCTGCATGCACGCACCAGTATCCCCAGTGAACGGTGTCTTTGGTGGCGGGCAGGCGCTTCGTCCTCGGCCCCGACTTGCAGGCGGCGGGCTTGGGGACGGCAGCAAAGTCAGTGAACGTGATTGGGAAGTTGTTGGGCGTGTTGTCAATGGTGTAGGTCAAGCCAGGGGTGGCAGCAGCAGGAGAGGCCTTGGGGGCGGGCTTTGGGATCGTCTGTGCTGCTGAAAGACTGGCGACGGCCACAGCAGGGGCAGGTGAGGGGAACGGGCGTGGTGGGAGGTGATTTTGGTTGTGTCAAAGGTGTGGGGTGATAGTCGTGGCTGATCAGGGGCAGGTGGAGCTGGGCCTGTATTGCGTGGCTCATGTGGGCCATGATGCCTGGTCAATGGGGTTGCCGCTGCTGCAAGGCAAAAATTGCCCAAAGCCGTTGGCTGCTGCGCGCACTTCTATGCAGAGTGCCCATAGATCTGTATCCTCTACAATATGCAAACGTAGCTGCATCAAGCACACCTGGCAGTCGCGAGTACCAGCATGAACATGCAAGAGGCTATCGCTGCGCGGCGCCCTTGCGCTTGGGGCGCCTGGGGAGCAGCAGCTGCCATGACGTTCGCAGTTCAGTATGTCTCAATCAAGTGAAATAAATTGCTGTCAATGCAGCGGATCGGCTTTTTATGGCACCCATGTGGTCCAAGCGATACCGTATCGTAAATGGGCAAACCACGTGTGCGGTCTGTGCCAGCCAGGGACCATACTCGCAGGGTAATCGAGCGACATTTGATACGCGCATTTGTTGCAAAACGGCCTCGATGAGCTGCAAGCTATTGACGGGGGCCTTCGGGAGCTGCGACACTCTGTGGTTGGCATGGACACAGCTACGATACGGTAACAGACGACACCCAAAGGGGATGAGGCCCGACAGCAGCTTTCCTGGCACATACCTTTCAGCAGCGCCAATGTCCTCAAATCACACCCCACCGGCGGCCGAATACGGTGCTACCTAGGACAGCGGCGGGGGTCGCGCGTGGGGCCTCGTGGGGCTCGCTTGTCCCGCTATCGCAAACGCCGTGAACATGGAGGGGTGGGAAGTTGGCCACCTCTTGTCAAGGGACTGGGGGCCTGAAAAAACCAGCAGCCTGCATGCCCTGTGGTTGCTGCTGATGCCTCCATCGCTGTACGTGGTTTGCATGCATGAGGTGCGAGAGCGCTGGGCCGCGCCGCACCTGAGCCTGCGACGTCGCTGCAAACCTGCTTTGAGGGGCAGGTGATACAAGGGGTTGCACAGCAAGGCGCAGCAGCATTATGTGACAGTGACACTTGGGGGGATCGACAGCTGGATGGTCAACAGCATTTGCACCACTTGGTTGGCCCAACATGTGAAGGCTGCTGCCCCTGCAAGCAGCAGCGCAGGGAGGGTAACGGCAGTGCTGGAATTCGTTGGTGCGCCGCAGGTGGCGGGGGCCAGAGTAATCTTGTGTGGCACATCCGCGAGCGCTGGGCCGGATCACAGAGGGGTGTGGTTGTTGGTTTTGCGCGCCGCGAGGCGTATGGCTGGTGAGCATGGGGGGTTCACTTTGGTTTGCGGTGCGGGTGACGACTCGGCCGGCGGGTGCCCTGGCCAGGTGGCGCGATTGGTGGGTGCACTGCAGCTGCGATGGGTGGCTGATGGCCGGCGCGGCGCAACATTCACGTACCACGGATGAATGTTGCATTTGTGGCATTGGTTCTGAGGGGGGGCAGCCGGCCTCACGCGCCAGGCTCGCGTCGGTGACCATGTGCGATTTGTCACACCGTCCATGAATCACCTGCGGGCTCATGTGGGAGTCTGATCGCGATCAAAGTAAAACCACTTGCCTTGTGACACTTCTATGGGCCGTGTTTTCCGAGGCACAGCCCGCCAACGGCCGGTGGTCACTGCGGGAAAGCCGGACGGGTGTGCATGTTTCGACACCCGCCACATGGCGTGCCCAGCACTGGCCGTGAGTTAGTTGCCTTAAACTCCTTTTTTACTTCCCTCAACATTTCGAAAGCCCAAGCAGAGGGTACCATCGGCACTCATTTCAACTTGGGTGACTCTCACGGCTTGGCGTCGTGCTTGGCTGCTGTGCTGCATCCTCGCAGCCCATTCACAGTGAATGATCTCCCTTTGCACTTGGACCCTGCGCCGGGCACGCCCCACGGGTGCCGCGTCCGCATCAGCGGCACGCGTGGCCGTCCCCCAACAACATGGGCGCAAGGCTGGCAAGGCGTGCGTGGCCGTTTGTGCTCAGTCCGCACAGCAGGGGCCACAGGAGCAGCAGAATAATCAGGAAAAGCAGCAGCAGGCTCTGCACGTGGTGCCGTACGGCGTTGCTTCCGCGCCAGTCCCGCTCGCTGCCGGCGGGACGGCCACTGCTCTCAATGACCCCGGCCTGCCGCTCTGCCCCGGCACCCGGTGCGAGCACCTGCGGATGCCGTTCGACGGCCGCGCCCGGCCGCCCGTCATCCAACCCGACGGCCTGGAAGTTGAAGAGGCGCTGCTCCTGCCGGTGCAGCGCGGGCTGCGCGTGATCGAGCCCCCCAGCGGCTCCTGCTGCTGCGTCGCGCGCCGCAAGACGTGGCCCACACGCGCCGGCGCCGGCGCCGGCGGCGCGCTCGGCCCTAGCGGCGTGCGGCGCCAGGCAGTGGTTGATCGGCGGGTGGCGGTGCGCCAGCTCGACCTCAATAGCCTGCAGGCGGTCGTTGAGCCGATGCGCGACAGGCAAGCAAGCCTCGAGGGCAAACGGGCGGGCCGCAGCCGCTCCGTGTTCAGGCTGAGGCTCCGCTTGCTTGAGGCTGCCTGGCTGCTTCGCCGCTGTCTTGTTCACCGCCTGCCTGCTCGCGATATCATCTGGATGGCTCGATGATCCCCTGCAGGGCCTCCACTGCACATGCAAAGCCCCTCCCAACAGCGCACTCCCCCAACACCATGCAGCTTCGTTTACGGGGCGCCAGCGCCCGCGGCGCGAGCGGCGTTCAGCGCCCTCCGCGGCGAGCCCTCCGCCGCGGGGGCCAGCACTGCCGTCCTTGACGACGCGCGGGACGCGGCGGCGCGGCTGCTCTCGGGCGCGCGGCGCATGGCGGGCGCGCTGGCCGCATGCCACAGGGTGGCGGCGGCGGTCGGCGAGGAGCCGCAGGTGCGAGACGACGGCCGCTTCGCTGCGTTCAACCTGAGACCCGAGTCCGCCGAGGACGAGGCTTTCTTTATCGCGGAGTGGGCCCTGGGCGGCGGCTTCTGGTACCCGCCGGCGCGCGACGCCGCGGACCAGGTCGAATCGGGCGGGAAGCAGCAGCTGCGGTACGACCTTGACACTCTGACCAACGCGGTGTTTGGCGTCGCAGGCGCCCAGGCCGGCAGCGGCGGTGGCGGCGAGGCCGGTGGCGGCGGCGAGGCCGATGGCGGCGGCGGCGGCGCAGATGGCCGCGTGGCGCTCTCATGGGAGGGTCTGGAGCGGCTGTCCTTCGCGCCGTTCGCGGCGCAGGCCCTCTGGGAGCTCGCCAGGTCCTTGCGCGCCGCGCTGGCCGCGCCGCCGCCCGCACCCCCGCCGCGGGCGCCGGCGCGGCTGGCGGCGAGCCGGCTGGTTGCAATGGAGACGACAGACCTGGGAAAACGCATGGACGCAGCCGTGGAGGAGGTGCACCTGCTGCGGCGCGAGCTGGAGCTGGTGTGGGACCTATGGCTGGGGGCCAGGGCGGCCGGGTTCCCAGGCCTCGAGCAGCGGGCGCCGCCCACGGCGCCCACGCAGGCCTCGGACACGCCGGCCGACCCGAACTCCGAGGGGGACCAGGGGCTCGTCTCCATCAGCTTGACGGGCGCAGTCGATGCCCTGCTGCGTGAAATGGGCGCCCAGGTCGAACTCTCGTCGTCCGCGATGATGTCCAGCGGCACGCAGCCTGGGGGGGCCGCCGCAGGGGCGGGCAACCTGGTGTGGTTGAGCGTCCACAACGTCGTCATGGGCAGGGGCAGGACCAGCTCGTCGCTTACTGGTGGTGATGTCCGTGGAGGGGGTGATGGGGATGGTGATGGTGGGGGTGGGGGTGTCGAGCCGGGGATGGCGGACCTGGCTGCCATTTTGGACAGGATGCAGGGGCGAGAGGTTCGGCTGGACACTTAGTGTGATTGCGCATACACTTGTTCATAATGTTGAGATGTGATGTGATGGCGGGGCTGCCGACTGTAACCCGTACTTTCCCTGTCGTGTGGCACCACGCACGCATATTTGTTGAGGTGCGCCTGGTCATGCAGCAAGGTACCCATGCGCTGGCATCGCTTGGCGTTCTGGGGTCCCACAGGAATTGTTCAAGCAGCTTGCACAGCAGCAATTCAAGAACACAGGATGCTGCTGCGTTGCGGTGAAGCTAGGAAGCAAGCAGGGGGCGCACTGTTCTGCAACTCTGTGACCGCTCTTTGACCGCCGTCCGCCACCGAAAGCCTTCCCGTGCGTCAGGTCGTTGCTGCTCATCGCCGCCTCGCCCTCGCCACCAAGGGCGAGTGCCGGCCCAGGCACAGCAGCCGGAGCCCAACAGGAGCTATCAGCTCACGGGGCTGCCTGCAATGTCTGGTGGGCCCCCTCGCACGCCCCCCGGAGTTCAGAGTAGAATAAAACACCAGCTCGCTTGGGTTGCTGGGCTGCAGCCCAGGAGTCTGCGACCCCTCTCAGCTTGCCTGGGTAATCAGACCATACCGTTGATTCCCGAGGACTCAACGCGGCCCACATGGAGCACTTGTGACCAGCTGGAAGCGCCACATATGCTAGCATGCTTGTGCGTCACACATCTCTTGTGTTACAGGACACACGTATGCTGCCATTCCCCCGCTTTCAAATCGTGGCAGCCTTTGACGCTGACGCGTGCACTGCAGCCGGTGACGGTGGGCCAGCCGACGCAGGCCTGCCGCATGAATCGGGCGTACGTCGTTTCCCGTGCGCGAGAGCGCCGACCAGGCCGCGCAGCTGGAGCGCCCGTAGCCAGCCTGCTCAAGAAGTTCGGTGCCTGCACAAACAACAGACGCAGCAGGCCGCGGCTGCGACCTGCCCGCGCCCTACGTACCAACATCAATGCCCACCGCAGCCACCCACGCCGCCGGGCCGCCGCCAGACCCGCTGCCCCAGCACCGGTCGCCTGCTGGTCACGCGTCGTCGTCCTTGGCCATGTTCTTGCCGTTGGCGGCCACCACCGCCGGCGTACGGTACATGTCAGCTGTGGTGGTGTCCTCTGGGCTCCTACTTGGCGGTCCACACGAGCAGCAGACGAGGGAATCTTGGAGACAGTGTGTGGTGTGTGCGTGCGTGCGTGCGTGCGTGCATGCGTGCGTGCGTGCGTGCGCGCGCGCGTGTGGGTGCGTGCATGTGCGTGTGTGTGTGTGTGTGTGTGTGTGTG